GATCAATTCTTACAGTATGTGTACTGGTGAGGGTCTTCTCTGATTTTGATGGTTATTTTGATGTGGGTCGTGATCATTCTTTCGAAGCATTTAGCGACTATAAGGGTGAGGGCTACTGGCCAATAGTCATTCAGGCCAGTCACTGTAAAGCTCTTTGGGACTGGGATGATAGTGGCAATCTTCAGGCAGGTGGGAACTGATGACAGGGTGAGGGAGGAATTACTGTAAAGATGTCGGCCAGTATCTCGCACAGCTGATCAGCACAGTCTTTCAGCACCTTCCTGGGGATGTTGTCTGGGCCAGTTACTTTGTGAGAATTAATCCTCCTGAAAGTACTCCTGACTTCAGCTGAGATCATGCTGAGAAACTCCTCTTCCAGTGGTGGGGTGAGTCTGGTGCTTGGTGGTCTGTTTGGGTTTTCAAAGCATGTGTAGAACTTGCTGAGGGCTTCAGGCAGAGATGAGTCTCTAGGGCATTGTGCATCTCTGCCTTTATAACCTGTTCTACACTTAATGGACTTCCACATGCTTCATGGGTCTTGTGAGGTGAATTGAACCTGGATCCTCTGTGCATATGTGGCCATGGTCCTCTTAATGCCAGCAATCAGCTCTTTCTTTGTCCTTCTTAGCTCCTATGAGTTGCCAGACCTGAAGGCAGTGTCCCTGGCTTCCAGCAGGGTGCAAACCTCTGCATTCAGCCAAGACTTCCTGTTCAGGTAACTTTTAATATATCTGATGGTGGTGACGTCATCAGCACATTTGCTACAGTATCCCAGGACTGAGGATGTGTATTCCTCCAAGTCTAGCTCCCCCTCATTTACAGCAGCGTCTCTGAAGACATGCCAGTCTGTGCATGCAAAACAGTCTTTCAATATGAAGTCACCATTCTTCACCCAACTTTTGACTTTCCTTTGTATTGGTCTGCACCGTCTCAGTGCGAGGAGATAGCAGGGACCAGAAAGATGGCAATATGGACAGGAAGTCTTAGGTGGGGGCGGGGGGCGGCTTTTTGTGCATCTCGTACATTGGTGTAAACACTCTCGCTTCCCAGTTACATCCAACAAAAGTATAAATTGTAAAGAAAAACAGTAATAAGTACAAAGATATAAACTAAGAATACACTAAACTAAGAATATCCTAAGCACTAGTAGTACAAAAACGATATGCTGAACAACAGCAGCATGAACATGAGTCTGTGTGAGCAGATGAGTATGAATGAATACAGCAGCATGAAATAAATCAGCAGCATACGATCAGCAACATGGATAGTCAGCAGCACATATCAACAATCAAGTGGTTTTATAGTGATTATCCTGGTTGGGGATTCATGAGTCGAACAGCTTCAGGGTAGAATCTGTTCCTCAGTCTAGTAGTTCTACACTTGAGCTGTCTCAATGAGCTAAATCACTGGTTTTCTAACAACTTTCTACAACTAAACAGTAACAAAACAGAAATCATTCTTGTCGGTACCAAAAACTCTCTTTCAAAATCAGAAAATCTTCTCATCCCCCTTAACAACTCTCTGCTATCCCCCTCGCCTCAGGTCAAGAGTCTTGGTGTCATCCTCAACACCACTCCCTCCTTCACTTCACACATCAACAATGTCACTTGGTCTGCCTATTTCCATCTACGAAATATTAACCGTCTCCGCCCTTCTCTCACACCCCGCTCTACAGCCATCCTTGTTCACAGTCTTGTGACTTCTCGGATTGACTACTGCAACTCCCTTCTTTATGGCCTCCCCAACAAATCTCTCCAGAAGCTGCAATTGGTCCAGAACTCAGCTGCCCATGTCATCACTCAAACCTCCTCCTATAACCACATCACTCCAGTCCTGCAGCAGCTCCACTGGCTCCCGGTTAAATCACGCATCGTCTTCAAAATTCTTCTTCTCACTTTTAAAGCTCTCCACAACCTTTCCCCTCCGTACCCATCTGACCTCTTACACATCTCCATCCCCTCTCGCTCTCTCAGATCCTCCTCTTCACTACACCTCCATGTACCCTCTGCCCGCCTCTCCACCATGGGGAGCAGGGCCTTCACCTGCTCTGCCCCTCATCTTTGGAACGCTCTACCCCCTGACTTAAGAAACACCACCTCTCTTTCTCTATTCAAGACTGCTCTGAAAACACATCTCTTTAGACTCGCTTATCCTTAACTTTGCTGTATGTATTTTATATTCTTCACGCATTTTATATTCTGTATGTATTTTATATTCTTTACGCATTTTATATTCTGTATGTATTTTATATTCTTTATGTATTTTATATTCTTTATTCCTGTTGATCTTTGTTCTTACTGTAAAGTGTCCTTGGGTGTCATGAAAGGCGCTTTTTTAAAATAAAATTATTATTATTATTATTATTATTACACTTAATGCTCCTCAACCCCCTGCCTGAGGGAAGCAGGGAGAAAAAGTGTGTGTGCTGGGTGAGTGGGGTCCTTCATGATGCAGGCGGCCCTCTTCCTGCATTTGGAGGTGTAGATGTATGTGATGGTGGGGAGACTGACTCCAACATCTTCTGTGCAGCCTTCACCACTCTCTGCAAAGCTTTACTTTTTGCAGCTGTGCAGCCTCCATGCCACACGTTGATGCTGGAGCACAGGATGCTCTCCACTGCACACATTTCAGCTACTATTTAACTGTTTTGTGTTAAATGCATCTTTTTCAGCTAATTCCACATGTTTTTAGCTCATTTCAGCTTCTTCCACATCCTTGTGGTAGTTTAAGCTTCTTTCTGCCTTTTCAGCTACTTTTCAGCTTTTTTATCGAATTTCCTATTTTTTGTGCTCATTTTGCCTGTTTAAACCTAATTCAGCAAATATCTGTTCTTTCTGGTTTCTTCTACTAACAGGTTTGTTCTTCTGTTTCAGTTACATTTCAGCATGTTTTTTTTATAGCTAATTTCAGCTGTTTTCAGCGAGTTTTTCAGAAATAAGCAGTCACACTGCAGTTTCTTAGGAAATTTTATTTCTCTAGTTTATATTTTATTTGTAAAGATGTAGTGAGTCACGTTGGTACGTGCCACTAGTTGTATGACAAATATATGTGGTATATATTTATGCATACTTTTCACGAGTTCCTCATCTTTCTGACTGTGTAATGTCGTGTATTGAATTCAACAGAAATGTAACGAGAGACGTTATTTACCTTTGACCCATCAAAATGAATGGAGTCATTTATTTTCAGAATCAAAGTTTAACATCAAACATTTACATTAATTTGGCAAAATATGAAAATAATAACAGACAAGTTTCACAGAAAATGAGCATCGATCACTCGGCGGTGAACGAGGACTTTGCTTCAGATATTTCTAAAATATCTGTACTGGTTTTGTGAGAGAGAGAAGAGTTTAAGATGAAATGGAGATTTTCTTACAGAGAACTATGTGAGGGAATTAATATCTGTTGACCAGAACGTGCACGCTTCATCAGATCTCAGCTCGCCTCCGGTACACTTTAGTCGAAGAAGAGACCGTTACCTGGTGATGATAGATCAGCTCGATAGAGAATCCTCCAGACCTTTCAGCGTCTCCGTTGAGAGCTGCTGAAATCCTTAGATAGTCGTGCGTGGGTTGTTCAAACAGAAGTTATAATTCCAAACGTCTCTGACTCTCCTGAATTCTCGAATTCTCTTCCATTCACTTCACCATTCTCCATGAATTCCCCATGAATTCTAACCAATTCTACCAGAACTCTCTCATTCTATGATTTGAATTCTGCATTCCTCTCTAACAGAACCGAGAAGTTCTCACATTTTAAATGAGTTTACTTCCGGGTTTACTTTAGAGCTTTCTGATTCGTGGATGGACCAGAAAGAGGTGTGGTTTTTGACGTAAGGTATTATCAAAAGTCGAGGTCAGGGAATGAATTTGTTTTCAACATACAGAAAAGATTATTGCAGAATACCAGACTTTTTGGAGCCTCACTCTGTTGTATCTTTCCAAATAGTAAAACATGACATCCCTTTTTCAGTAAACATTTAGTTGACCGAAGCTTCAACTTTCACATACTTACGACTTGGCTCATTTCAGACAGAAAATAAAGAAATGCATATTAACCTGATTTCTCCTTTGAATGAGGAATAAAATCATTACTTACTGTTTATGTAAAATAAAAATGAGTAGTTCTTTTTCAACCTGTAAGCATTGAATGGAACTAACACAATTTGATTATCAAACATTTGTAAAACAGTAATGATTATAGAGGATTGTCTTTTCTGCTTGATTAATTCAAGAAAGAAAGTCATCAGATGGCTCAGACTTATTCAGATCAATGAAAATAACAGTCTCTGTCCATCTGGTAGATTTGAGGTCATCAGGGTCAGATAAGGGTCAGACCAGGTTCACTACAAAGATCTGGTTTCAAATGTACATCTAAAACAGATTACCCATTGTTGTCAACCCCATTCAAGATGGCTACATTAGCTAACCTACACTAACCATCAGAAAATTAGTATACCTCTGTTTTACAGATGTTGATCTGAGGTTTAATGCAGTGGCAACTAGGAGTCATTCATAACTTACTCAAGTTGTGACATCTTGTACAATCACAGGAATTTGCACATTCAGCTGTTTTCAAGGTTAGACCAATATGGCTTCAACGGTGCTTTTATTTCTCAGGATAAGATGTTCTTAGTCTAAAGACTATGGGTTAGGGTTGGTCTGGCATGAAGGACTGATGTTGATTCAAAGAATGGTAAGCTTAAAGTCTTCTATGGCTGGATGGAGACAGAAAAGATAAATGTTCTGTTTGTGTTCAGCAGACTTTCATGGTGCCATTTCATTATGACACACTTCATCTGAGCTCTTACTCAGCATCAAAAGCAATGCTGGAAAGTTTTTTGTTGTTGCTTGTATTAGGAAAAAGACCTTGTGAGGAAACTGGAGTTAACAGGATAGAGTCATCTCACCTTCAGCTTGTTAAAGAGCAGGAAACAGATTGAGAAGTGAAACGTTCAGGTGAAAGTGTCACGGTAACAATCAACCTTCAGATTTTTACCTTTTCTTTGTCTCTCATGGACCCTTTTCCCAGAATTGACATCTTTGTCAGGGTGTCTTCTTGTAGTCTCTTTAACGAGTTCCCACGTGGCCCGAGGAGTTTGCCGACAAAGTTGAACTGCAACAGAAACCAGGAGAGCATGAGTCAGTTAGAATCTGTCTCAGATGAAAAAGAGTTTTCTCATGTCTTCAGCTCTGCTTTCACTCACAATAATCACAATTAAGCCCCCAGTATACTCCCGCGTACGTCCATACGCAGAGGTACGCACGTACGTACGCAGAGGTACGAGCGTACCCCCCAGGGCATGTCCATGCAAAGCTAAATTTTTATGACTGCATATGCGTACGCGGTGTCGCACAATAAACTGCCCGGCGACGGACTGTTTTGTATGCGACACCAATGTATTAAATTCCCCTTCTTCATCTCTGATCTGGCCTTTTCTTTTGTTTTGTTTTTTGCCAAGAGGCAGTGATCTCTTCCTCCTCCGTTGATGCAATGACTGAAATGGTGAGAAATGGAGGAATTTGTCAAAAGCGTATTAAACTCAGGTCCAGCATGGCTGCAGGAGGGTCTGGAGATTTCCTGGTGGGCTGGTCTGATGTGTGGGTTGAAGAGCTAGCGCTCCCTGGTTTTTTTTTTGGTTTTTTTTAGATCTTTTTATTAACAACATATAAACACAGAACACCGCTGTGGCTGAGGCTGCCAGCGCTTGTTTTTTTTTTTTTTCCCCCAGACCTGTCAATCAATCCAATAGGTATGTCAGCAAATGACCAATCGGCGACCTCAATTTGTCCCAAAGGTAAACGCCCTTTGTCTGTGAAGCTGCTCTGCAGCTGCTCGGGGTGTACGCTGGAGTCTGAACTCTGAACCTTCTGCGTACAGTACACGCGTACATACGTGTGAACAGCGTACATGGCAGTATACTGGGGGCTTTAGGGGTGGGCGATATTGCTCAAACATAACATTGTGATATTTCAGAGCATTCTGATGATAACGATAAATTTTGTGATATAACAAACAAACAAACAAAAAAAAAACAGAAATCTTAGGTATTCATTTGACAAAAGTAACTTAACATGTTGCTTTGCAGTATTATATAAAAAAAGGGATTAATTTTACTGAAATTACTTTATTTAGTAAAGTATTCAGTCTTAAAGTATAAAAATAAAAATGATCCTTCTGCTATTTAGATAGAAAAATCTGAACAACATATAGCTCAACAAAATCCATCACAAAAACTAAAGTGCAGGTGCAATTCCCAAATAAACTAAATGAAATGAAAGAATAAGATCTGTTGAGCATAATAAATGTAACCTACAACAAAAACCATGTTACCTTTGAATAATGAGCTATAACTTCCAAAACTTGTGACAAATGCTGAAAACAAATGAAATGCTGCCTGAAAGGATTCCTGATCAGAACATAACCATCTAGCTGGTTATCATTGATCAAGTGTCAGATTATTTGAACACAAGCCTGTTCAATGAAACATGCTTCAGTGCAGACCTGTTACACGTAACAATGTTCCCTCTTGTGCTCAACAACCTTTCAGAGGCTGCACTAGTGGCTGGATGCACAGGTCGTTTTTTGCGAAACAGCTAACCTGAGGAAAGATAACCTTGTGCACTTTCCACCAGTTAAGAGGATCACTCTCACTATCTGCTGGAGGACAGTCTAGGTACCATAGTTGTTTAATTATGCCTGAATTCTCTCTCTTGGAGATGGTCCTGTTCCTGGTCTGCAGCCCTCCTGAAAAAGCTGCAGAGACTCTTCTTTGACAACTTTGCATCACTTGGACCTGGGGTATCTTCAGCTGACCCTGAAATTTGTGCTGGTGTTTCAGCTTCCTCTACTCTTCGCAGGAATGATTCTATTTCTCTGACTGCTCTGTCTTTGATCACCTGCCTCTTTTCTTGGTCCATAGACTGTGGAACCGTGGGTCAAGAGACACAGCTGAGCTGCACGCTGTTTGTACCGGCAGTTTTCAAGCGCAGGGGGAGTGGTGATGGGGTGTTTCAGTGTAAGGGACGAGGCAGCATGAGCAATGCCTTTAGCTTTTTAGCTAGCTAGTATTGCGTGCGGCTAGCTTAGCGTTACACCAGTACCGACAGGTGGTGGTGGGGAGGCAGTTCGATTCGGTAGGTGGCACGCTCAGTTCTTTTAACAGGGCGGGGCGCCCTGCTTGTATAATGGTAGGGGAAACACTGACATATTTACACCACGAAATTAGTATATAATGATATAATTTATTTTCTAAGGCAAGTTTTTTTTTATTTATTTACAGGTATTATCGTGAATGATACGATATGGCCCAGCCCTAATCATAATTATTATCTGCTGTTGTCTTGTTCTGTGTGTTGATGAATGCAGGTGTGTTTCTGAGCTGTCTCATTTACAGAGACCTGGAAAAGTCTCCATACCCCATTTGAACTTTTCCACATCTTGTAACTCAGAACCGCAAACGTCAAAGTATTTTATGGGATTTTAGCTTATAGACCAACACAAAGAAAAAAATATTGTGAAGAGGAACTAAAATGACACAAACATTTTTATTAATATAAAAGCTATTTTGTGCCCCTGTATTCACCCCCCTGGCTCATTCTTCTTTGTAAAGCAGCTGAAGCTCAGTCAGACTGGATTGAGAGCATCTGTGAACAGCAGCTTTCAAGTTCTTTTTTTTTTTTCCAGCTTTCAAGTTCTGCCACAGATGGCGGCCTATGGTCTAAATCAGGGGTCCCCAATATGTCAATCACAATCTACCGGTTGATCTCAAAGTTTTCATAGATAGAGCACACAGCATTAATATATATGTGTAAAATAAACTAGTACTTGCTACTCGTACTACTATTCCTACTTTGTGTTTTTTCACTTATCGTGGGGCTCAGGGTACGGATCCCCCGCGATACACGAGGGACTATTGTATATAAGGCATTTTAAACCCTTCCCACAGTCAATATTCTAAACAATGTTTCTAAACTCTAAATGCTCTAAGAGAGCACAGAATGTCATGATTTCAGCTCTCTGCCATTGCTGCACCCTGCCACCTGCCACTCTTGGCCACGCCCACTTCTCTGGTGCAGAGCAGAGATCAGCTGATCAGCTGCAGGAGGACATTTCTTCTGCAGTGCTGGGCTGCACACAGGTGCAGCAGGTGATAACTAATTTAAAATAATTTATTTTTAATAAAAATTCCATGCTGATCGTGCAGCTCATCCATCATTCAGCTAATTGTGTGTCATGTCCATTCTTTATTTTGAAAAACCGCGATAGAGCGAGTCCGCAAAAACTGAACCTCGAAGTAGCAAGAGACTACTGTATATATAACCTGTGAATAAAAATACATAGAGAAAATTGGCCTGTTGCGATAAACAATAAATCAATTAATCGCATGATGAATGAAAATTATCAACCTCATTTTCATTTATCGGCTTTATCGTTTCTTCATGTCTCTCTCTTTCTACTGGACACTAGATGACTAAAGGTTCAACTCCGGTGCTCTTTACTGACCTCTCCCTTTCTCTATTCTCTTTAAAATCTAGTTTAACAATCCAAAATCACATTTTTGGATCGCTCAAAGCAGCTAAGCTGTGAAGCTATGCTACGAGCTAAGCTAACTGGCCAACCTCAGGAAAAACATCCGTCTTGTTGAAGCTGCAACATTCACGGTTGAAAGCTGTGCCTTCGTGTAAAAAGTTGTTTTTCTCTGCAAAAAGACGCTAAGAACTTGTTTACTGATTTTTATTAAAAGGTTTTTGTGATAAATACTAAAGAGCTCAAAACATTCCAAGCATCCACCATTTTGAAAACCGAAAAACAACTACGAGAGACAGCCCATCACAAGGGGCCGCCCTCCCATTTTTCTTAAAGAGACAGCTGCTCGCTCCCTCATTATCATGAATCATTCAGTTAAAACAGTCTTATACTGCCATCCAGTGGTCAAAAAAAGCACTACACAGAAATTAACCTATTTTTCTTCTTAAATTTGACAATAAATTACTAATGTCAAATTTCAAACAATATTATCGTTTATCTCAATAATTTCTGAGACAAAATTTGTTATTGTGACGGGCTTAAGAGAAAAGCATGTCAAGATTATGGAGCATGTTGATCTGCAACATTCTCAGCATTTGTTGTCTGAGTGTTGGAACAACAACAACAAAGACATGTCAGGAAACACCCTTACAGCAGAACAAAGATCATTTCATTAAGTTACTACAATAAAACACGATGAAACTGAAACTGAATGGAGATCTCCTTTGGTTGTTTTTTTTGTTTGTTTGTTTTGTTTTTGTTTTTGATTAAGGCACTTAAACCTGAGACAAACTTCCTCACAATAATTTCAGACTGAGTTGTATTTATGAACAACAAGCCTTTAATATTGATCTAACAGTCAACGTTTTATTAATCTTCATCTTCTGAGCAGCACCAAAGTATAATTTCTTGGAAATTTAGCAAAGGATCCATTTTTCAAGCCTGCAACACTTTATGATACAAGCAAATACATTCTGCTCAGTATTAATCTTGTTTAGACAGGATGACAACACAAGTTGAAATGTTGTGCCCAGAACTTTGAAATTTACATTTACTGCCATCTTTACTGCTCCAGGACCTTTGTAGAGGTTCACATGATGAGGAGCGAGGAAATTATCCACATTAAACATCTGTGCTCAATAGTGTCCCTCCCACACATACCAGTCTCTTATATGAATCACTCACTGGAGGAAGTGACAAACCTCTGTTCAGACCACTGGTCAACCAAAGGCTTCAGAAGATGGAATGACTCAGACTCCCAAATTTCCCAAAATCCAACAGTAACTGAAACTGGAGCCATATAAGCCCCTTATCCACAGGGCCTTTTGGTGCTCCTATGTAACTAGTTTGGGCCGATTGCGTAGTGTCTCCACAGTGCCTTCAGCGGTGGAACCCGCATGATTTTTGGGACCTACTTCTCTGGGGTCCCAGGTCTGGTTCTTGTTCAGCGCACTGTCGGTCACTGATTGGTCAGGGGGAGGAGTCACTGGATCTTTCAGAAACTTTTCAAAACACAGATCCGCCATTTGCAATTTCTCAGACCGGAGTAGCGGCTGGACCTATTTTAAAGATTTAAAAACAATAAT